GAGTCACTGACCGGGCAGGCTTTGCTGCATAGAGGATGGCTGCATTTTGTGCTCAGAGTTGGTTGAAATGGCTGCGAAGTGTGGACAGTGACCACTGAATCCCAAAAGTCACTGCACTTGATCTGATCCAAATACCAGTGACTGCAGTTAGGGTAGAGAGCTTCTCCGAAGCAGGGGTCATGGAGGCTTTTGTGTGGCTGAGGCTTCCCTTTTTCACAACAGTAAGAAGCTATCAATGGGAAATTGTGGACTTTTCCCACCAGGGACTCAATGTGCAATATTCAGTCAATATAAAACTCTTAAGAACTCCTCCTTACTGGTGACTGTCAACACTGGATCTAAGACGTGAATAGTCTAATTTTCCTGAGCAAGGAGCTGCAAGTCTGGCTTTAGAAAAGCCCTTAGGAGTGTCCCACCTCCACCACACAGGCAGGTTTTAGGTGGGGTGGACCCTGTGGGACTTGCCCTCTGAGGGATGGATGGACACAGAGCCCCTCCCCGGCTCAGCACCCGCGGCCTCCGCCCACTCAATGGGCGCCTCCCAGATCTCAGGCTGGATGATCTCCCTGCAGAGGACCAGAAGCCCTGTCCAAGGCCTCGGCCTGGGATGCTGGAAGGGGTGGGAAGGGTCCGGGGTCCAGGACAGGCCCAGGGGTCTCAGCAGGTCCTCCTTGGAGGGCCTGAGCCTGGTGAGGGGGACGGTGCCCTGGGCCCCTCCATGCCCCCTTGGTTCGCCCTGCTTTGTTAAGGGGGCCAGAGCAGCTGCTGGGCCCCACAGTCCACTTAAGGAACGGCCATGAATCTTGGAAAGCGCCGCCCACCAGGCCACCTTTCACCCAACCAGGGCCCCCGGGGCGACCTCCGGGCCAGGTGCGACAGGTCAGGCCGGAGACCTCGTCTGTGGGGGACGGGCAGTGCCCGCGGCCGCCACCCTGAGACCGGGCGCGGGCAGGACGGAACCTGGAGGGGGAACGAGGCAGGTGCTGGCTCTAGGAGTCTAAATCCCCAAGCGCTGAGTAGACGGAAGACGTTCCCGCCACTTTACCTGCAGCTCAAAGACCTGGTGAGGGCCTGGAAACGGCGCTCGGCCAGGGCCGCTTGCGGGGCCGGGCCTGCAGCCGCTGCAGGTCTGGCCCTGAGTCCTGGCGCTCGGAAGGTCCCTGAGTCGGTCCCCGGGGAGAGGTGCGGGGCTCGGGGGTGGGGGCCCGGAGCCTTGGGCTGGTTTCACGCAAATCCGTTTGGGGCGAGCCTCGGTTTCCCGGCAGCTGTGGGAAAGGGCGCGAGCGGCCAGCCACGGCGCGCGGGCCCTTCCCCCCCGCGGCTTCACAGCGGCGTCTCCTCCTGCTCCAGCGCGTGCGGCGGTGCGTGGCACGAGGGCGGCAGCGACGCCAGCTTCAGCAGGGCGGGGCGGCGGCGCGCGCGGGGCCGCTGGAACGAGCGCCGGCTGTGCACGCGGCGCGCCGCCGCCGAACGCGCGTGCGCACTCGGCAGTCCCCGGCGCTCCGGCCCCGGCCCCGCCCCCGCCCCCGGTGTAGGCCCCGCCCCCGGCTCGCGCTCCGGCGGCTCTGCGGGCGCGGCCGCGGCGCTCTCGGGGTTCTGCGCGGGCGCGGGCGCGGGCGCGGGCGGGACGGGGCTCGGGGCGCGCGGCCGCTGTAACCGCGCGGGGATCAGGGGCTTCTCCGGGGCGGCGGCGGCCGCGGCTGGCGGCCCGTGGCGCGGGGACGAGCGTCCGGTCAGCGGCGTGTCGGAGCCGGTGTCACCTGCGGGAGAGCAGGGCGTGAGCGGCGCGCGGAGCCCGGGCGCTAGGGCGGGAGGGACGTCTCCGGGCGGTTTAGCTCTCCCCAAGCCCGGCGGCTCTCGCCTCCCCTCCCGCCGCGCACCCGGGGCTCGGCGTCCGCCGGGGCCTCCTCCCAGGACCCGGTTCGCAGGACAGAGGCGGAAGCAGCAACAGCGAAGCCCCACCCTGGCCCAGCCACGTCCCACCGCCGGGGGTCCCGGGACAGCGGCCTTCTCCGTGCAGGAAGGTCCCGCCCCTGGCCCTGCAGCGCGGGAGGTCAAGGTCCCCAAGGGGGAAACCTGCTTCCTCCATCTCAAACCGCCCTGGGTGCCTCCCAGGCCCCCAGAGGGAGCTCACAAAGCCCAGACCCTGTGGCGCGCTCTGAGCTGGAGGCAGAGCCCGGGTCTGCGGGGCCGGCCCTCCCTGTATCCCTCTGGGAGGATAGGGGACCCGGGGCGTCTGGCTCCCCCTAGCCCTGCTCTCAGCTCCGTGGGAGCGCAGGAGTTGGACTCGCGGACTAGCTTTCGGAGCCACCTAAAGGAAATCACAGGCGGCCCTGCGGGTCTCAGCTCCGTGGGAGCAGCAGAGACGCCAGGGTCTGTCCGGGCTCCTGAGGGAGGTGCGGCCAGCAGGGCGCTAGAGGAGGAAGAGGGGCTGCTGGAGAGAGAGAGAGCCAGGTTCAGGTCCAGGGAGGAGGAGAGAGAGAGCGCGAGGCGGAGACCTGGAGGGAGAGGAGCTGCGGAGAGAGGGGTTAGGTGGCAGGAGGCCCGGGAGCGTTACATGTGTGTGGACTCGGGGAGGGCGGCGGGGGGCCGCTCCTCGGGGCCGTCTGCCTGCAGGAAGGAGTCCACCGACTTGCTGCTGAGGCGGAAGGGCGTCAGGCGGCGGAAGGTGCTGGGAGAGTGGGGAATCTGCGTGCGGGCCCTCTGCGAGGGGACCACCGTCTCCCCGGGAGACAGCCAGGGCGGCAGCCTGGCCAGGAGGCTGCGGTCCAGGGCCTCATCCGGAGAAAACACAGGGTTGTCAATTCCTAGGAGAGAGGGCAGCGGCCGGTCAGCCTCCTGGGAGCCCTGCGGCGGCAGGGGAGGCCTCGCGGGGGCCGTCACCTGCTGCGTGCCCTGGAAGGTTAAGGTCACCTGGAATAGGATCACCGGGAAGGTTAGGGTCACGTGCCTTTCAGGTTGCAGGCCCTTGCCCCACATCCATGACCCCACACACCACAGGCAGCACAGGTGAGGTTTCCCTTCCCTCAAGACACACCCCGTCTGCTCCCTGCCCGGCCGGGCCCACGTCTCCTGGGACAGCAGCCTCCGAGTTGGTTGAGGAGGCACTTGAGGTGCCAGGCAGGGCCCTTGAGAACCCACAGGAGACCACCCCCCCAGCCAGGTCCCAGTGCCCCTGGTCCAATGACTGAGCTCCCTCCTGGGGCAGCAGGAGCTGCCCCTCCCTGGGCCACGACGCCTGTGCCCTGTCCCCACCTGCAGGGGAGTCGGATGCTGTGTCCTTGGTGACACTGGCCAGGAACTCGATTCCCCCGCTCATCTCCTCATCATAGGGGTGCTCCTCGGTGTCTGAAAGTTCCAAGTCTGGAGGAGACAGGCTGGGATGAGGACTGGGGTCACTAGGGGGCTGTCCTCACAGCCAGTCAGCCGTGTCCATCAGCTCTGTGCCCAGAGGTGCAGGGGGTCGGGACCCACAGAGAGAAGGGCTAAACCGCAGGGCTGGGGGAGGGCAAGGAGGGACCCCACTTGAAGGGCAGCACCCCTGGAACCCCATCCTGGGTGGGTCTGCAGCTGGGGCCCTGACCGTGCCTCCCTGCCTGGGTGGCTGGAGGGTCCTGAGAGGGGAGGGCCCCGATAGGGGAGGGCTAGGGCTGGGGCTGGGAGGTGGCGGCTCCCAGCATTTCCCGCGGGGCCCCCAGCGCACCTTTCTCTTTGATGGTGAAGTTCTGCACAGGGTTCTCCATGGGCAGCTTCCCATTGGGGATGCTGCTGTTTCTCTGTGGGACAAATGTGAAGCTGCTCACAGACCTCAACACAGCCACACCCAGCCCGGACTGCCCCCGCTCCAGGCCCCAGCCCCGTCGAGCCTCCTGGTGACCCGGCCTCACCCGCTTCTGGGCACGCTCCCGCTTGTACATCTTGGCTGCCTTCTTGTTCTGGTTGAGCCCCAGCTTGGTCGACTTGAAGGACTCCAGGCGCTTCCGCATGGTCCTGTGGAAGATTTCCCGGTCCTGCTTCTCGTCCTCCGTGGGCGTGAGCTCGTGCCGGCTGTACAGATGCTTGTACTGCAGGGTTGGGCACGGAGGTCACAGCTGTGCCCAGCACCAGACACTCCCGCCCTCCTGCCGCAGGGGCTGAGCACGGATCCCCCATGGTCCTGGGAGGGGACGAGGAGGCCACCCTACAGGGGTCCCTGCGGGCGCGTCCAGCCCCCAGCCTGCGGGGCCCACCTCCTGCCGCGGCTTGTACAGGTACTGCTGCAGCGTGTGGTGCGTGACCATGTCCTCTGCATCCCGGATGCTCCGCCGCCGCTGCTCCAGAGACTGCATGTCCAGGCAGACGGCGCTGACATTCTCTCTCCTGCACGGGGACCAGCGCTGAGCCACACAGGCTCCCTCAGGGTGGGGTCTCCTGTGCACCCCTCTCCTTCCCAAGGGGGGCATCCGGCTGGGGCACGGGGACACCTGGCCAGCCCCTTCTCCCCTCAGGGCTTAGGCTGACTCCCCACGAGGCCTTCCCGGCCTCCTTTCTGAGGTAGATCCCCCTCCTCACTGGTCCCCCTCCAGAGCCCTGGCTGTGAGACTTGGGGACCTTGGCATCTGCACACCTAGCAGAGTGGACCTCCCATGAGAAATGGCCGTGAGCTGTGGAGCCCATGGCTGGAGGGGCAGTAGGGGTGGCATGGGGACCAGGACAGGCTGCTCCTGGCCGGGGGCAAACACGTCAGGCCCGGACCCCAATCCGCTGCTGCCCCTCCCTTTCACCTTGCATCCAGCACTAAGGGAGTCTGGCCACCGCATAACACAGGGGAGCACTTGCTGGAGGGGACACCCAGCCCCTCTTTCTGCACCCCTCCACTCCCCCATGCCACCCCCAGGCCAGGAGCCACCCCAGCCCCGTCTGTGACTCTCAGCTGGGTTCTTCCCCAGGGAAGCTGCATGACCGTGGCCACGTACAGGAGGTACGAGACAGAGGCCTCCACGGTGGATGATCGTGGTGTGAAGTCCACGTTGACCATGTTGTCGGTGCTGGGGGAGCGGATGAAGGCCAGGGACCCACGGCGCTCTCCCTATGGTCAGGAAGCAGCCCGGTCAGTGGCCTGAGCAGCCAAGCCCTAGGTCCCGGACCTGCGGCAGCTGCTGCTGTTGTGTGCCCTGGGGGGAAGCGGGGAAGTGCCCAGAGCTCGGGGCCCAGGGAAGGCCTTGAGACCTGAGCCCCAGGTTCTCCCCTCACAGCTGCAGTGGGGAGGAGATGCCAAAACCACGAGATCAGATTTTGAGCCTCTGTCCATCTGTCTGAGGCCACAGCCAGACTGCTGCCTGAACTGGGCAGAGGTAAGGCTTGTGGGAGGACACAGTGGTCTGAGTGTGAAGGGGTAAAGCTGCCTAGGACTTGGGGGGTGTCTGGGGAAACTGTCGATATGCGGAATCAGAAGTGGCCCCTGTCCCTGCCAGAGGCCCTAAAACCCCATTGGCCTCATGTCCAGAAATGAATCAGGTCGAGGGAACGGAGCAGAGCCCGATGGGGCACAGAAGCCGCACAGCTGAGTGCCAGAGGACGGGAGTGGGGCTGCCTGTGTGTCCTCAGACCCCACCCGCCTGATGGCAGGGCCTGGAGAGTGTGAGGCTGTGGAGGAGTGCAGGGCAGGGTGGACTTGTGGCTGGAGTCAGGGTCTCCAGGGCCAGTGGGGGCACAGGTGTGGAGGGAACGTCAGCTCACTGCGCTCAGACCTTGCCAGGTGGGCACCCGTGCCGCCTTGCAGCGGCAAGACGCTCCCAGGAGAGCCCCCGGGGTCGGGCGGGGGCCGCTGCTCCCACTGAACATGTGGCCCCCACTTCACTGCCCACTCTGGGGGCTCTGAGGGTCATTGTTCTAAGGGCCCTCTGCCTGCTCTTTTGCTTCTAAATCCAGCATCTTCTGTATGACCTTTGTCCCTCTGTCCCTCTCCTGCCACCCCGTGAAGACAGCCGTGAGGGTCGGGGGAGCCACAGTGCCAGCTGCCACTCTGGGCAGGCACAGGCGAGGGCTGGAGCACCTGGGCACATGGGGTCTTTGGAGGGGCTGTTCCCCACACCACTTCCCCTGCCCCTGCCGAGCCCCACACTGTGGGGTGGGGGGCGCAGGGAGAGAGAGCAGCTGCCCTGTGTGAGAGCCAGGAGGGACATCGGGCAGGCGGACGCCACCCCAGGTGTGGAGACTCAGGCTACTGAGTGACCAGGAGGCACCCACGGGCTCCCCACATGCAGCTGAGCCCAGGGTCGTGGTCATGGGTCATGGGTCATGGGTCAAGGATGGTGGCTGGTGGGGTTGGGGGAGAGGTTCAAGGCCCGCCTACTGACCAGGGTATCTGAACTTTCTCTCGCTTCCCGGGCCTGTGGTTTGGGGGTTTGTGTGGATCCTGGTCCAGGGGCCCTCCTTCCTGATCTGCACTGGCTAGCCCTCCTGACAGCCCCAGGCCCCCATGCCCTCTGCCAGGAGGCGCCTTGCCACGCCCCAGTCATGGGTGGCACATCTGGGGTGAATGCACGTCAGTAGAGGCAGAATCATTCTATCTGAACGAATGGCGTTTCCCGGCCCCCACCAGCCCTCTGTGTGAGGGTCTGCAGGGTTTGGCAGGACAGGCCTTTCCCTCTCACGAGAGCACCGACCCCGATCAGCTGCTGGACAAGGGCACCACAGCTCACTAGGGAGGACTCTGTCCTTAGGGAGGAGCCGCAGGGCCCAGAGGGAGCAGAGTCCCTGCAGCTGTGCCCCAGGCCCTGCGCTGCGCAATTCCTGCAGCCAGAGCGCCCCTGGGGAGGTCAGGGCAGGCCGGGGAGGCTGAGGCCCGCCTGCCATGGTAGGCAGGTGCGGGAGCCAGTGGCGGCAGTGGCCCCGGGTCTGGGTGGGGCGCCTGGCCTCTGGTCTCTGGAGCAGACGGGCTCTGCGGACACCAAGGCCTGCTCAGAGTGGACTGGGAGATGCTGGGGCAGCCTCAGAGCCACGGCCGGCCACGGCGGGAGACAGCCCTGCTGCTGCCCCTCCGCCTGTGCATGTGGGTCTGTGGGCACCTGTGTGTGCTGGGGCAGGCCCAACTGTGTTAGGACCAGGTCCCATAACAGCCTGCCTGCTTACCGTCCACTCCCATCTCCAGGGAAAGCAAGGGAGCTCAGGGTCCTAGGACCTAACCTCAGCGCTCATCCCCACCAGCACCGCAGTCACCAGGACTCTGTGACTCAGTTTACCCCACGTGACAGCCAGCTGGGATTCCCAGGGCATCAGAGGCCCATCAGCCTCCTGTGAACTTCTGGGGTGGGCCTGGCCTTGGGACGCGGGTGCAGGGGCCTCTCCTCATTGCCCCCGTGGCGCCCATAGCCAGTGCCCGAGCCTGCTGCACCCTGACCCGACAGAGGGAGCAAGCGGCTCGGCTACCTCAGCCACGTAGCTGATGGCGTCCTTCAGGTTCAGCTCGTGGAAGACATTCAGGATCCGGTCTCGAGACTTCTGGGCTGACCGTCTCATGAGGACCCTGCTGAGGAACTTTCTGTCGAAGTGGGACCACCTGTAGGGACAGACCTCAGGTGTGAGTCTCAGGCGACAGGCGCCCTGGAGCCCAGACCGTGGCCGGCCACTTCTCTCCTGAATTTTATTTGCTGTAACGACCCTGCAGGCGCATTTAAAATGAGGGAAGCAGCCCCTGCCACGCGCCCAGGCCATCCGCCGTTCTCCCGCCTGTCCTGTTGGATGGAGGCCGTTGGATGCACGTGAAACTGCATTCCACTTTCCAGCGTCCGCCTCCTCCAGAGGGTGGCTCAGGAGAGGGTGGGCATCAGGCCTGGTCGGGCAAGGGGGCTCCAGCCACGTGGGGGGCACTTTTCAGCTGCACAGGAGGAAAGGCAGGGGCGGACAGACGTCCTGAGAACTTAGACTTGCGAGAGCCAAGCTGACCAGAGTGAGGTTTTTTAGCCTAACAGAATTAGAGTATTTGCCGGTTATCCGGATCAGAAGGGATGGTGGCCTGACTGGACATAGAGGAACCTTTGGGGCACAAGGAGGTGATGCCTGTCACTCTTGAACATGGGCGCAGCCGCCAGAGCTGCCCCCCAGGGCAGAGGGTGGGCCCCAGTGAGCTTGTGTGCTCACACCTGGGCAGGCCCCGTGGCAGCAATGGCAGCTCTCCTGTGCAGGTTGAGTTTCAGCCACACCAAGAAGTCAAAGCTAACTGAGGCCTGCCTTCTGAGACCCCTGGGATGGCCCCTGGGAAGCCAAGGAGTTGGGTACTGGGTACCTGGAGCAGAGTCACTATGGCCACAGAGAACCGCAGCTGAGCTTCGTGAAGCCACATGGCCACACCTCCCAGTGCCTCCACCCCCACCAAACACAGACCACTCAGAAAATAGGAACCCAGGGCAAATTGTATGTGCTACTTACTGGGTTTATTATAAGTGTCAAATGTATTTTATAATAAAACATAGGTGATTTCAGCTTAATGGACAAAATCTTTTTTTATTTTGAGACGAAGTCTCGCTCTGTCACCAGGCATGAGTGCAATGGCACAATCTCAGCTCACCGCAGCCTCCACCTCCCAGGTTCAAGTGATTCTTGTGCCTCAGCCTCCTAAGTAGCTGGGACTACAGGCACCCGCCACCACCCATGGCTAATGTTTGTAGTTTTAGTAGAGACGGGGTTTCACCATGTTGGCCAGGCGTTTCTCCAACTCCTGACCTCAAGTGATCTGCCTGCCCCAGTCTCCCAAAGTACTGGGATTACAGGCTTGAGCCCCGCCAGACAAAATCGTTTTAAATGTTGACTGATACTAACCCTATTTATGACTTGGAGGAAATAATCTATTTTCCTGACTTTCACTTCCTACATAACTTAACAATCTGGAATTAATTGGGCCACATGAGAGGGCGCCTCTATTCCCTGGAAGGAGTACAGGGAACTCAGCTTCCATCCCCTCGCTCGGTGGCCCCGACTGCTGCCGCCAGCTCCTTTCAGCAGCACCTGTGTGTCTGGGGGCACACCTGGCACCTGGCCTCACGGGGCACCTGTGTGTCTAGGGGCACACCTGGCACCTGGCCTCACGGGGCACCTGGTTGTGTCCTAGGGGCACACCTGGCACCTGGCCTCACGGGGCACCTGTGTGTCTAGGGGCACACCTGGCACCTGGCCTCCCGGGGCACCTGTGTGTCTAGGGGCACACCTGGCACCTGGCCTCATGGGGCACCAGAGCCCTGACCAACCCTGGACTCAGACAGCTACGCATGTGGCTTCCGGCTCTTCCAAGTGGAGGATGTTCCCAGAAGCCAGGGCAGTCCCAGTCACTTACTTGTCTCTGAGATAATTGTGCCCTATCTGTCCCGATATGTCCTCGATGGCCGAGAGGATGTGGTCGAAAGCCTTTCAAGAGAAGAAAGATGGGAGCATCTTGGGGCGGCCAACCGGGGAACATGACGTGCCCCCCTCCCTTCCCGGCCCAGCCCCGAGGAACCCACCAGCCCCACTCATGAATCCCCCAGCCCCAGACGCAGCCTCCCCTCCCCTCCCGGCCCAGCCCTGAGGAATATGCGGTGCCCCTCGCCATCCCCCGAGCCCCGGACGTACGCGGCCGTGCAGCTTCTCGTTGAGCCGGGGTTCCCGGTGCTCACTCCTCTTCACCTTCAGCCACTGCACCAGGGGCTTGATGGTCAGGCCCTGGAGGACGGGGTCTCGTGATCCTGGTGCCAGGCAGCCCCCCACATCCTGCTGGCCCCACTGGGTGCACCACACAGAGCTGCCTGCCCCGGGGCTCGCAGATGCCCTCCCTGCTCTCCGGGCGCCCAGCAACCTGCACCCCTGCTTTGCAGAGGAGGAAGCAGCACCCGGGGCCTCATCCACCAGCGAAGGCTCGGGAAGAACGTTTTTAGGACAATTATGCTTCCTCCCCAGTGGGGCCACGTGAAAACCTACAAAACGGCTCCCAGTTACTAAAATTACAAAACCCAATTAGGGTCTGGAGCCTGGAAATGCTCGTCCTGAAGTGCAGGATGGGCCCAGACGCCCCTTGCGGGCGGGGCCGAGACCCCAGGGCTGGCTGGGCCGGGCCTCACCTGGAAGATGACGGTGAAGAACACTACGATGATGGTAGTGCTGACAAACAGGTTCTTCTCCTTGACCTTCTCTCCATCCAGAAGCACCACCAGGGCAAAGGCCACGGCCCCGCGCAGACCCCCATAGGACAGGACCACCTGGTCAATGGGCTCCAGCTGCACCATGCGGTAGCGGTTGAGAAGCCAGGTCTGCAGGACCACACCTGTGGGGGGATCACACCTGTGGATGGGACCACACCTGTGGGGGGATCACACCTGTGGATGGGACCACACCTGTGGATGGGACCACACCTGTGGGGGATCACACCTATGGATGGGATCACACCTGTGGGGGATCACACCTATGGATGGGACCACACCTGTGGACGGGACCACGCCTGTGGGCAGGACCACACCTGTGGATGGGGTGGCACTCAGCTCCCCAGCCGCCCTCCCAGCTGCGGGACCCCAGCCCGTCTGGGACAGCATCTTGGTGGCCAAGCGTGTGCCGACAAAGAACAGCGGCAACCCTAGATACGGTGTCCCCATGCCACGTCCCTTGTCACCATCCACCCGGAGCCACACGCTGCCTGGCGTCTCCCCCACACACTCCGTGCATCACACACACGGGTGCTGGGGGATGGGGCTGGGCGGGGGCAGGGCCGTCTTGCCTCCTGTTCCATCTCCCAAGCCACTGACCCTGTCTTGAGGCACATCCAGGGTGAGTCAGTGGGAAACCAAGTGGTTTCCCTTGGGGTTCCAGAGCCTTCCACCCCAGCCCCGAGGCCACCACCATTGGTCCTCCTCTGCCTCGTGTGGGGCTGCGCCTCCATCTCACTGGGCCCAGTGGAAAGCCTGCACCTTCCCGGAGATGGTGCCGGCCCATCCGTGGTCCCACGGCCGCAACCCAGCCCCGCCTCACCGATGGCTCGGTACACGGAGATGAAGACCAGCGTCAGGAGCACAAAGGCCGTGTTCCAGGTCCAGATGAACGGGTTCACGGCCGAGATACCCAGGAACATGAAGATGATGGTCTCAGCACCGCTGGCCAGCATCTTCATGGTGTAGCGCACGGTGGTGGCCGACTGCTCCGAGATGTTGGCCTTCACGTATTTCTGACAGCAGATGCCACAGAAGGTGATGCTGCAGGGACAGACACGCTTCAGGACATGGCCACCTGGCCCGGCGCCCCAGGCCCCTGCATCCGCCCAGCCCCCCACAGCCTGGCGCCTGCAGGCAGAGTCACAGTCGTCTGGTTACAGGGGGGCCTCTCCCTCCCGAGCCAGGCTGGGCCGCCAGGGTTCCTGCCCACGGCTCTGCGGGGCCACAGGCAGCTGTCATCATCATGCAGATATGGGCACCAGGGCTGCCTGCCAGCAGGGATGGCAACAAAGGGTTCCAAAGTCCCTCACCGCCTGACCTGTCTCAGGGTGGGTACTGCTGTCAGCCCACGGACAATTCAGTGGAAACGCCAACTCCTTATTTTAAAATTTAAATAAACCAAATTCTTCGCCCCACACTGAACTCCCAGTCAGCTTGGGAGCACCCGCAGAGCGGGCGAGACGACAGACGGAGGGCAGGGCAGGCCTTCCACTTCCCCTTGCTGGGGCTCATGGGGAACTTGGTGATGCGGAGCCTGGGGCTCCTGCCGTGCACACCCCCCATGTCCACGCAGCTGGCACTGCCCTCCACACCTGGGTCCCCGTGGCTGGCACCGCCCTCCGCGCCTGGGTCCCCGTGGCTGGCACCGCCCTCCGCGCCTGGGTCCCCGTGGCTGGCACCGCCCTCTGCGCCTGGGTCCCGTGGGTCCGTGGCTGGCACCACCCCTCCGCACCTGGGTCCCGTGGCTGGCACCCGCCCTCCGCACCTGGGTCCCTGTGACCTGGCACCCGCCCTCTGAGGCCCTCGGGTCCCAGTGGCTGGCAACCACCCTCCACCGCTGGGTCCCCTGTGCTGGCACAGCCCT